GTTGTTGTTGTGTACGATGTTAGTATAATTACGTTTAGATTCAGTTGCCACTCTGTGCCCAGAAGTTTGAAGGACTGCAGCTGATTAGGGCGCAAATACACTGCGTGTGCAAAACTTAAGGACCGAAGTAACTTTCACATGATATCTCACTGCTAGTTAACCTAGGTGACCAAATTTGGCACATATATAGAAGTAAATGTTGCGGTACAGTGCAGAGAGTTACTAACAGAAAAGCGCAAAGGGGCGATTGGAAAAGACATTTTTCTGCAAATACCCTGTCTGAAGCGGTCGATTAGATCTTCTCAACTGCATGTAGACATCTAAAAGAGGGAGCTGCTTGCTTGATGAGTTCTATTGAACACTACGGACGCAAAGTAAATACTCTGCTACGTTCCATACAAGCGCAGATTAGTAAAGATTCTTGAAGATGAAGCGACCGATGAACCGCGATTGACAACTGCAGGACTATTGTTGGCACATGGTCATGTGCTACAATAGCTCATCTGAATCCACGCCACACGTGCTCCATAGAATTAGACTGGAGGAAATAAATGGCTTCACCAATTACCGAAAATCCTCACTTTTCAAGAGTTTTCCACCCAGGCTGCTCGATACTCTCGCACACTGCCCTCCATACGATTGAAGCTGAGGGCAAGGGAACCCTTGGAAAGATGCACATGACAGAAGGGTACAACACCACAATCACGTTGATCAGAAAGTGTAACGCGATCATGAGTTGGGGATCAGTACGCCCCGACAACTTTATGCCTCCCCACATCATGTCGCATGGACTACCAAAACAATCATGTTAAACGATGGTCCTGGGTAGATTACACGTTCCTATTTTCCCCATATGCAGGTAAGTCCAGAATCACTACTCACATTCAGTTTGCTCTTGACCGGGAAGAATACGCGATTTTTCAATTCGGTGGTCCATCTCCAATGTCTCGGCTCGTACCAAATGTCCCAGCCGAGGCGTGGATTTCAAATGAATACAGGTATTGTTGATCGATGAGAGAGATCACTCCTAGGCGGTCACTGCGCCACTGTCCGGACTGGGATTACATGCCTTACAATCCTGATAAATGTTTTTGCAACTGCAGCATGTGACTGACGTGGGTCCATTTTTGCCTGTAGCAAAACCTAGCAATCACCTGCTGCTGCGGTTGTTCGTGACCCACAACCTCCTCTTCTTGGGACAGCAGTGGCTGCGGTCCACATTGCTTCTCATGCACAAAAAACAATGCTGTGGTTGACACAAAACTCCTGGACACAACTTCCTTTTTTCAGTTTCCCAATGATTCTTCCTCGCGTAAAGTCACCCTAGTGTTGTCTCTGAGACTTGATGTAATCAAGAACACCACTACATTCCACAGTCACTTCTCCCTGCTTAGTTCACCCCTCTTGTCCTGCCCCACGATACCCATCGTTCTGGGTGGCCACCCCATTTAGGCTCCAGATTGAAGCCGGATGCAAGACATATGAGGCCCACTTCGGTGCCCATGACTGTAGGGCTTCTAGCATTATGCCCGTACAGTTTCATCCAATTCCATCTAATTGTTAATAAGTTAGGACAATTTATCTATCTCGTCCTTAAGTTTTGCACACCAGTATAGTTAGTACTATTGTCTTATACTCAATTCGTTGGCTTTCTTTATTTCTCCGTCATCTAGAGCTAGAGGTCAAAATCCACGATCTTCGTCCCAGGTCCTTTACCTCAGTCTTGGAAGAGCTGAAACCATAGCTGAAAGTGCATCAGAGACTAAGTGTTACTGCTCAATGTTTTGCACACAATGAGTGGATTCGTTGGCCGTTTTTCCTTGCTTGAATATATACGCTCAGACGATGTTTTCTGATCAATCATCTTCGAGCAAAAGTTTTGGCTCGAAGAACATCCGCTCAGTGGCGCCTAAGATTTCGCAATATGCGTGCTGAATCGCTCTCTCGAATGAATGGTCTCCCATCCTAAGAATTGCGTTCATACTGAGAAACAAAGACACAAAAGAAAGACGTTATATGTGTGAGTGCTGACAAGCTATGGTAGTATACCATGAAGAGCTGAGTTGGAATGAAATGGTGCCCCGGTAGCGTAACTGGTAGCGCACTTGCCCGGAAAGCGAGAGGTGAGTCCCGTCCTGGGGCGAAAGTTTTGTTCACAACCCAGCATTCTTGTGAAACATTCGCAAGGCGAACTGCGGCCAAAAACAGCAGTTAACAAAACAAAAACGAAAGAAAGCGACATTTCAATCTAGCTTACCTATACAGAATGTCCCAAAATTACTTGCTTCAAAACTTCAAAATTTCACTGGAGATTGCATCGATTACTTTCACTTTGTGCGCTGTTAATCAATTGTGCAGATAGGCTTCTCTTGTAAACTGCATCGTTATTGGGGTAAAACTGTCAGTATCACTGAGATGGCAAGGTGGCATCCAGTGCAACTCGCAAACAGTCGCATGAAGGGGCTGCATCCTTGTTTCCCTTGGGACTGCACAGATGGTCATAAAACGATGCAGGAAAATTTGAACATTTATTAACATGCCTGGGGCAGGAATGGTCATTTTCACAGATAGAGTGATTGAAATGGTTGCTTAGCAATTCACGATGCTCCAACAGAAGGATGGTGAGGCCGCTGAATGTATCGAAGTCATCGATGGGTGCATTGTCAAGGAAGAAGCTCCACTGCCAACCCTATCATATGCAGAAGTGCCAGTTCATTCTGTACAGCAGCAAGTAGCGGGTCAGTAAGTTGGAAGGTTACTACCGTGTTCCATTGGCGATATGCAGCTCTCGATCTTTTTTTCTGACGAGAAAAAATTGAAAGCACATCAACCTAAAGCATCTTCTTCACCAGTGTCACAGGCTCATCATCTTCTGTTACGCAGAGCGCGAACGCTTACCGCGTGGAGTTCTTTTTGGTTCGACTCGAAGAAGTTGAATACTCGAATTTTGACTTCGCCGCGGTTATCGAATGCTAAGGAGTTTTGCGCCGACCAGGTATATGATTAGCAGGCGGCTCCAGAGCGCTACATGGGGTGGAGGTAAGTCCCAGCCCAACTCCTCGATTTCTTGTTGCGTGATTTTCACGACACGTGGTCTCCCGTTATTGCGCAATAGTTTTACATTGGGCGAATTCACCCCTTGAAGATGCAGCGCTTGGCCCACGTGGTGAAGCTGTTATACGTAGAGTTCAGCTGTAACTGTATAACCCACAATAAGCATTCCGTTGTGCACCGTTGCTATACTAAATAACCATATAAAAGCATGTACTGTTTCCGTGGAGTGTCCGGTTTTGAGTCACCCTCAAGGTGCGCCGCCAACCACGGTCATCTTCTCGCGTTGTTATTGGGAAACATCTCTTTGTAAAATGCGGTCAACAAGAAGTCATGAACCTTCTTTCTCTTGAAGTTATGGAGCAGAGTTCCAATATTGGCAACCGGTACTGCTTGCACGCGTCGTTCGGAATAGGTCGGACCCATTTTCTATCCTGAAAGGCCTTGCCAGTCACACATAGAAACTTTCCAATTCCTCTGTTGAAACAAAGAAATTCCATGTAAGTTTGGCCCGTTGATTTGAGCAGCATGATGCGACTCTCATCGCTGTGCCCTCTTCAACACTACGCTCTCTCACTATCTAATCACTCGCCACGTATAGACCTGCGGCGAGTGATCAGATGATCGGTGGGCGTGCACTGGCCCACCGCGCCAAGATTGAGCCTTAATAGGTCGCCGAGGTCAACTCCTTCGGTGCCAATTGCGCTTCAGTCCGCACCCTTAGGAGGTCCGCGGGTCCCTCAACTAGGTGAATTACTCCTTCTTCGACCTTCATTCTAATCGTAAATTCGTCCTTTAAAGAAAGTCCTTTTTTTCGATTTGACCATAATTCCGTTCCGCAGCGGTGAGACTTCTACTGGCGTGACAAATGGCTTTTTCTGTACCATTCGGCATCCTGTGAAGAATTACTGCTCCAATGCCATAGTCCGATGCATCAGCAGCGACTATTATTTCCAGGCTGGGGTCGAAATGTGTCAGAAGTAGATCCGATGCAAGTACTTCTTTGGCGCGTTGAAAAGCTTCTTCACATCTTGCTTGTCCAGCAAAAAGTAGAACTCTTCTTTAGTAGGTCATCGAGCGGGGCGCGTATTTTGCGCATCTCGGCCACAAATGATCCATAGTAACTGATCATTCCAAGGAACGAACGAACTTCTGCGATGTTTCGCGGTACTGGCATCTGGCGAACGGCCTCAATTTTCTCTGGATCAGGACGACATTCCGTCTTTGTCGACCAAGTCGTAAAGACGAATTCTCGGCATGAGAAAATTGCATTTCTCCTAGCGGACATGGAAGGAACTATTCTGACAAGGAGTGCTTCCAAATTCTGGTGATGCTCTTCATATGTGCGGCCTGTGACTATGATGTCATCCAAGTATGCAGCAACGCCTTGTAGTCCACAAATCATCGAATCCATAATTTGCTGAAAAATGCCAGGTGCTGATTTCACTCCGAAGGGTAGACGATTGTAACGGTAAAGTCCCTTGTGTGTGTTTATCGTCAACATCTCCTTCGATTCTTCCTCGACTTCCACCTGCAGATACGCGTCTGCCAAGTCGATTTGAGAGAAAATTTGTCCTCCATTTAGTCTTGTGAACACCTCTTCCGCAGTGGGCAGTGGGTGTTGATGCAACTGTAGGGCATCGTTTAATCCTGTCGAGAAGTCGGCACTAAACGATTCTTCTTCTTGACTGCAACGATGGGTGCGGCCCATTCCGAATGATCGACTGGTGAGATCACTCCATCGGAAACTAGCCGATCAATTTCTGCATTTAATTCAGAGATAGAGGCATAAGGGACTGGTCGTTTCTTCTTTGAAAACAGGTACTGCGTCTTCTTTCAAAAATAACTTCGCTTTCCTTTTCTTGCATCGACCAAGCTCGCATTTGAAAATTTCTGCGTACTGCTTCTTCAGGTCGGCAACTAAGGACTTCTGATAGTATCGCTCACCATCGGCAGTGGTACTTGTCCTTGTAACTCCTTGTATGCGGGGAGTTGGACACACCATTCCAGACCGAGTAGATTTGTGCTCTCTGTGACGTAGCAATAACCATTTCCTCGGAACTGATTTTCCAGTAGTGCGGTCTTTCACGGAGAAGCCTGTGGAAAATCTTCCATCGATTTTCATCGGTGATCCATCTGCCGTCTTGACTGGTATTGTGCAGGATTCCAGGAATGGGGATCCAAGCTTTTTCCATGTTCGGCGAGATATCAGGGTAATATCCGCCCCAGTGTCAAGCTGGAAGCGTAGCGAATGCCCTCGGACATCAACATTGATGTATGTCCTTGCATTCTCTGCGGCAAAAGTTGCAATGTTTTTGCACTGGTTCCTCTTACGACGATAATGCTGCCTTCTTGGTTTCTTTGGATCTGGTCGGACATCTTTGGTTGGTTGGCGAGAAGTGGACAAACATTCCTGTAATGTGGGCCTCCACATTTGAAACATTTCACTTTCTTTTTCTGCACGGCATGAACATCGTGGCTTGTTCCCATATTTGCGTTATCCATCTTCAGAGCTGTGAAATTTTCGCATTCTGCAACGAGATCTTCAATCGTCAATGCTGCGTCTTCTGCTTGCGTATCTAGTCGGCGAAGCATTCTGAGACGTACTTCTCGTAGGGAAGGATCCTGAAGTCCTGCCACAAACTGCAGTGTCTTCAGCGCTGTATAATCCATTTCCTTCTTCATCCATCCGTTTGATCGTGTTCGCGTAATCGCGGAATGGTACGTAATCCGAAGTAAGTGCTGGGCATGATATCCTCAAACACTCGTATCGGCGACGTATCAACGTTTTCTTGGATGCAAATAATTTTTGAAGTTTCCTCACTGTTGTTGCGAAATCGATCTCGTGCGGTTGTAAAGGTAGAACATCATCTGCATACTTACGGTAGCGTTGTCCTTCAAGCTTTCAGCAAGATAAAATCTCTCTTTTATCTTCTGGAATACTTGATGCTTCAATAATATGTCCATACCTTCTGTACCAGTAGTCAAATGTATATCCAGACTCCTCATCATATACGAACTTTTCTACGTCCTTGTTCAATTGGTCATATAGCAGCTTCTGGTTATCCACCATGCCATCCTTGGTAGGCGCTAACGAGGCGAACAGCATTTTCATTTCTTCATGCTGAAATTGCAACTGTTGAAGCATAGTTTGAAGTACTACCTCGAGCTGTGCAGGATGAGCAGAAGCTGTTCCATCTCCAGATGACTTCGGCATATTGCATACGAGTTGCTCTGAAGTCTTGAGCGGCTGTTGTCTTGAGTCCTGTAGATCCTTGGTGCTGGTCCTGATCGCCACTTGTTGTATCCTTACAGGCAGCCAATCCAGTCGTTTATTGAACCACAGACGAATAATTGAACCATACTCAGAGAGTGACCCTTTTATACACAATGATAAACATATTATTGTACACACTACTATCATTCCCCAACAGTATACTTCAGTAGAGAGTTCACATGTAAGCAGATAGCTAACTACCACATGAGTGATCTGATTTGCTGAAGCTAAGCCCAGAACTGAAACAGATATAATGTTATATATACAGTGCGCGTCAATTGCTTATGCCACCCCCTGATTTTTCAGTTTTCTGACTTATTTGGAAATTTCGTAAATCGGCATAGCAACCATCGTTTTCGGCGTGTCGGAAAACTAAGAATGGTGTTGTTTGATTTTGGTTAACGCGTGGATTTGAATTGCTCTGTTCTTTTGAAGAAAATGGGCCGCGTCAATTGCTTATGCCATCCTAAAGTTTCTTCAGAATTTCTCATGTCTCTAACGCTATTCAGCTACGGTGTGCATGTAATACAAATGAGGAAATCCTCCACTTATGCAATGCACACAAATGGTGGAGCATTTATAACTAATTAGTTCGGAATATTAGCCCTTATACTGGACGGTAGCAGCATGAAAACGCTTTATCAGAGAAAGAGCTGTGTGCTCACTTTTGCGATCGCTCCTGCTGCTTATTGTAGAACTCATCGAGGAGTGTATCCAGGCAAAACTGGGGAAATTGAAGTGCTCAAGGAGCCTCTTAAATTCACATTTTCCCGCTTCGAATCCGTGGTCAACTTTATTTGTGGTCTCGGCTCCCGCGAAGCTCGAAGCGTTCACGCTCACAAAGTCTCTGTTCAGAGAGAATATGAGTTGCACTCACAATCCGCCTGGTACCCATCGCCGAAACTTATCGAACGAAACTTATCGAACGATCGGATTCTCTCTGGAAAAATTTTCGTACCGAGCGAGCGAAAATGATGACATGGGCCAGTTGTAACTTGAACGGGACACCGAAGTGGTGGCATGGGCCATCATTGCATCGCCTTGATAAGAAAACTTCGATCGAGTTCAGTGATGGGTACCAGACGGATAGTAGGTACGAGTCATGTTCTCTCTGAACAGAGACTTTGTGAGCGTGAACGCTTCGAGCTTCGCGGGAGCCGAGACCACAAATAAAGTTGACCACGGATTCGAAAGGGAAAATGTGAATTTAAGGCTCCTTGAGCACTCAAATTCTCCAGTTTTGCCTGGATACACTCCTCGATGAGTTCTACAATAAGCAGCAGGAGCGATCGCAAAAGTGAGCACACAGCACTTTCTCTGATAAAGCGTTTTCATGCTGCTACCGTCCAGTATTAGGGCTAATATTCCGAACTAATTAGTTATAAATGCTCCACCATTTACGTGCATTGCATAAGTGGAGGATTTCTTATTCACATTACATGCACACCGTGGCTGACAGCAATCACGAAGATTTAAAGAGTGTAGCTGACAGCGTCAGAGAAATGAGAAATACCGAAGAAATTCCCACGTTAATCAAAATCAGTCAACGTCAACCTTGGTTTTCTGACACGCCGAAAACGATGGTTGCTACAACCGATTTACGAAATTTCCAAACAATTCAGAAAACTGAAAAATCAGAGGGTGGCATAAGCAAATTGACACGCACTGTATGGTTGGCGCGGAAAAGAAGTTGGGATCCGCGCAAGAGTAATTGCAGCTGTTAACGATCGTCAAGTAATTCTATTAGTAAGCAAGTGATATGGTTGGCAAGATTGAAATGTCGTTTTCGATCATAAATTATTTTCATTATGAAAACTATAATACAAAAAAAAACTCGTTTAAAAAAGTATAAAAGTATAATGAAAAAGTCAAAGAATGATCATTAATGACGAGTCCTGTCAAACGAGCAAACGAGAAACGGAGCAAAAAACGTCAAACTAGTCACTAGAAATGGCGTACTATGACAACACCTCTTCTTTGTTTATTTCCTCCACAAGACTTACCAAATTCTAGTACTACACAGATTATGGTTCTCAATTTACACGTCCCCCTTTCGCTCAAAGGAAGCCTTGTAAAAGCCTTCGCCAGCTGTGTGTTGACTGGACTTTGGCGTTGACCGTGGAGCAGCTTATTTACTATTGAAATTTGAACAAATATTCAAATGAACTTTCTTCAAAGTTAACGAATTTTCAATCTGAAAGCTGATTTGGGAGTTTTGTGAAGAGCTTTTTCTAATCAGTACTGAAATTACAGGAAGTTATAAGAAATAACAAATTTAGATCAAATAACGAGGAAAATTCGAGACGAGCACGAGTTTTTACACTTTCCGGAGCAATAACTTGCTTCATTTCCGTCAAATTCAAAAAGTTGATACGTCATACAAAACTAGAAGATTTTCTCTATCAAACGGTCGCTAAAGCAGCTTCATACGTCCAGTACTCAAAAAATGGCCACGTTGAGGATTTTTGCAAAATTAACGAGGAAAATTCGTGATGAGTGCGAGTTTTTACGCTTTCCAAAGCCATAACTCCGTTCAAACTCATGCAATCTGGAAAGTTAATACGTCATCATAAACTAGAAGATTTGCTCTTTCTATACGTATAACTTGAAACTGGGGGCCCCGCCCGCTGCCCTGCCCCCCCCTGAGACTCCAATACGTTCACTATTTAAAAAATGGCCACGTTGAGGATTTTTGCCCGAGTACCGCCGAAAGGTACTTTTTCGCTACATTAGCACTATCCCAACGACTATAGCTCCTTGCAGGAGCGATTACATACTGAAGTAGGAGCAGATTCAAAATCCTCGTGCTTTTCTCTCTGCAAAAAGTGTAAAATTGTTTAGCGGGTCTCAACTTTAAAGGTTACATGCTTGTGAATTTGACGCTGAAGGCTGCGTTTCTTGTTGAATAGTGTACTCCTCTCTGTAATTTAACATGAACTCTTTCAGAACCCTCTTGATTCTTCCTGAATTAAGATTCGTTATCAAGATAGCCGTAGCTGAAGCGCGCGCAACCAACTGGGCCCACTCTGGGATGCGCCGTGTGCTTCACATCTCGTTGGATTTGAGGACCTACTTGAAAGATAAAATATCCCTAGAAAACGTGCGAATTTCGGATCCTTTGACTTGTGTGGTGATGAAACACTAAAGTCACTAAGAATTGCTAAGCGGACACCTCTAAATCACGAAGATTTTGTGTGGACGGAATCAATTGTTATTGGAAATACTCTGGCCTGGTATCGATTCGATCCTTAATGTTTGTCCTCCGACGATGATCCTACTGTATCAATCGGGCCCGATCTCTCCCCAGCGGGCCAATACGACCCCCCCCTCTGTGACATGTCGAGGATTCCTCAACGCACGCTTGACCCTGGTGGAACCCCTCTTTGCCCGTTGATTGGATACATCTTCACGAAGCACAAAAGAAACAGACTCTCCGAGGAGCCGTTCCCACGACCTCTTGCTCGCGAGTTCGGGGCACTGCCACTGCGCTTCCTTGCTTTATAACTACGTTCAAGAATCGTTTAGCAGATAAGGAAGGCAGTTCTGAGCTCAGCGCCTCGAGGCGACTTCAACGGTATACGACTCATTGCAAATGGCCGGACCGGCCTGATGACCTTCCCTCGTGAGCTTTTTTCGATCTTTGTGGTTGATCTTCGGTGTATTCATCAAGTGTCTGCAATTCTTCATCAGTGCTACTTCCTTTTGATCTAGCTCGCATCTGATTCGCATGTCTTCTCCACAGCTGACCTTCTTCCGTCAGAACGTCGTACAGAACTCGTCCAAAGCGACTCTTCACGTGTGCCATAATCCATGCTTGTGTCCAGGGCGATAGTCTCGAATCCAAACTGGTTCTCCAATCTTGTACGATCTTTTCGTGCTCCGTGGTGACGGTTGAATTGCTTTTCCATTTTTGCATTTCTTGGTCCTTTTCACCTTCGGTTGTTTCCTTCAGTAACGTCAAGGTAGTCCTTATCTGACGTCCGAGAAACAATTCTGCTGGTGAAAGCTGTCCAGGAGTTGACGTGCACGGCGTTCTTCGATAACACTTCAGAAATTCTGAAGGGGTTCCGATCTCTCTCCCTCCCTCAGTTTCAGCAGGGATCTCTTGAGAGTATCGACGAAACGCTCCGCTTGTCCATTTGACTGTGGATGAAAGGGCGGTGAACGGATGTGTTCTATGCCTTCTTGGTCGCAAAATTCTTGAATTGGTCGCAAAATTCTTTGATCTCTTGATGTGAATTGTGTTCCATTGTCAGACACGATCAACTCTTGGATTTCCAAATCGTGCGAACAACATCTTGAGCTCTTTCAAAGTTGCTTTCGTTGTAGACGACGACATCTCGGAAACTTCAGGCCACTTTGAGTACGAATCGACAACCACAAGATACATCTTTCCGTTGATGGGTCCGGCATAGTCGATGTGAACTCTATTCCAAGGTTTCTTCTCTTCAGGCCACGAGTTGAGAACTGTTTTCCTTGGCATTTTTGCTGTTTCTTGACAGTAGCAGCAGTGGCGCACATTTTCTTCGAATGTCTCGATTGATGTTCATCCAATAGACATATCCTCTGGCGAGCATTTTCATTCGTGTCATTCCCGGATGTCCTTTGTGTAGCTGCTTCAGTACTTGCCACGTAGAGACTTCGGAATGACAATTCTGTGACCAAAATAAAGGCATCCATCTTGCGTAGACAGTGCATGTCGTAGAGCTTTCCAATCACGCATGTTCTCTTCAGGCTTGGCTGGCCATGATCCTTGTCTGAGCAATTTGGTGATCTTCGATATCTCTGAGTCTTTCCTAGACTCTTCCTGGATCGAAGTTCTGGTCACCGGTAGTGCTTTAATGGAAGCTTCGTAGACGGCGAGGATATCTTGCTCTATTTTGGCTATGACAATATCTTCTGTTTGGTTTGGACGTGAGGGAATGAGTCTTGATAGTGCATCTGCTTGTCCAAATTCAGTCGTGCTTCGATACTCAAGATTGAAGTCGTATCCCATAAGTATAAGTTTCCATCGTTGGAGTCGATTTGCCGTATAGGTTGGTCTTCCATGGGATTAAAAATATGCAATAACGGCTTGTGATCTGTCAGCAATTTGAATCGACGTCCATATATGTAGCGATGAAAGTTTCGGACAGCAAATATTAAAGGACGAATTCACGATGAAAAAGCAACCCATTTCAAATTAACCTAGGGATGGTGAGTGGTACACGAAAGAAGGAAGAACCATGAGAAACGGCCCAGAACCCGAGAAATGGGACCAGGGTCAAGCGAGGCGTCGAGGAAAATTCGGAAATACGACCCCCCCCCTCCCTCTGCCGAAGGCCGAAGTCCATGAAACAACCCTCTTTAAAAGCCGAACTATGAAAAAGTTGTTTAATTCTCCACCAAAACTGCTCATAAAAAAAGCCCTGCTACCCCACCGTCCGGCCGGTCCGGCCATTTGCAATGAGGTGTATACCTATGCATTCGTCTTGAGACGATAAGCTAGAAACCGCTTTTCTTATCTGCTAAACGGTGCTCTGAACGGAGTTACGGAAGTTTTCCCCTCAACACTGTACTTAAACGCAGTATATGAGCGCTATCATTGGAGTCGCCACTATAAGCCAAGCGGGAAGGAGCACGTCGTGGTTGACGTGGCGTAAGTGGTAACGCTCCAGGCTTGTAGGCGAGAGGTCATGGGATCGGTCTCTCGTGGTGTTTGTTGTTTTGCCTTTTTGAAAACATGACCAGAAAGGCTTTTAGCGACAGTATCTCCTCAATTCCTGCCTTTACCTGCCTGTGTAAGGAGTTAGGGAGCACCTCTGCGCAGGTTGAAAGCTATTTTTAATTAATATTTGCCATGACTGAAAACGACGCTCATAGCCCACTGATAAGGTGTTTTTGCGGTAAACGAGTATGATATTCGTGTTCAGGAGACCGAATTTTCCCTGGTTACAAGTTTCCAGCTGAATCTGAGATTTTGACCTACACTCGAGAAAGGGCAGTCAACATACAGTCAAACGAGAGAAGGTATGAATCGAAAACTAACTGGAAAGCACCTTCCCTGAATTTTGATGCAGAGTCATGTAAATCATTTCCATTATGCGGAAATGTGAGCCGTTGAACGTTTCTCTTTTCAAATCTTGGTTGGAAGGGCAATTTCCATGCCAAGAGTTCAACGATAGGTTGATGATATGATGGTTGACTCACCTCATTTTTTAGGGTTGGGTCAAAATCTCAGATTCGGTAGGAAACTTATCTCCAAGGGTAGTTTGATCTCCTGAACACGAATATCACGCCTGTTTGCCGCGAAAAAGCCTGACACTTGCATTACGGGCACCATGTTCATACATGGACGACTACTGCCCAAACCTGCAAGGAACTGCTCGAAATTTTTTCGTACAGGGAACTAACGGCAAAGTTGATAAATTAAGAAGTTAGAAGCTTTCTGGCTACATTCTTCATAGCCAGGAACTGGAAGAAGTGTGCGGCCAGTCAGCTCCTTTTTGTCAACCTAAAGTAATGTGTTTCATGCGTTCAAACCACAGCATGGTTCGACTCGATCTCCAAAACCAGCTCCTATTTGTCAACTTGGAGAAGTTTTGGTGCGTGCGTCAGAATCACTGCACTCCTATTGAAGTAGTGACAAAAGCGCTGTTGCTCATCAGATGTTTCCTTTCCTTTGCAGTCTGTTTTCACGATAAAATGACTACACTGTTTGAGTGTTTACCTCAATATCAGATATGGCACTTCGAAGAGCACACGACCAGTTTACGAGGCGATTCGAACGGTAAATGGTACCACGCTCGTGCATTCGAACAAAAGCCTCAGTGACCGCTCGCACCATCTTCGGATCCATCATGAAGCAAGCACGATCCCAGTCCACCGAAGCACCCATCTTCCGCAGCTGATCGTAGATCACTCCACCCTTTCTGAAGTTAATTGAAAATACTGGAATGCTATTCTAGGAGCAAGTCCGAACACAGCAATCACTGACTCGTTCTTCCATTTCCACACTTCTTGGAGGAAATCGTCACGACCGAGATCATGTCGTGTGAGACCTTTTTCACGTTGCAACTTCTTCTCCACGACTACCTGTGTAACTGGGCTTCACAACAGGCAATAAGTCAAATGGCTTGGGTAGATAAAATGCGGGGAGCAAATTACCTGTGTAGCAATGCCTGCATGGTCACACCCAGGATTGAATAGTGTGGTCCTTCCTTTCATTCGGTGCCTGAAGATCCATTTATGTGCTGCATGAGGAACGATTCAGTTATGATGTACAACCCACCATCTTGTTAAAGTGTCTTCAACGGTAGTGGCAAGCGCATGGCCAATATGAAGCGTACCAGTTACATTCGGCGGAGGTATGCAAATGGTAAAAGTTCCCTTCGGATTCAGCATCCTACAGTTGAATGGAGTCAAAAAAATATTCAATTTATAGTTAGAAGATTGCTGGGTTGTGAACAAAACTTTCGCCCCAGACGAGACTAGCGGAAATCTGCGGCCAAAACAGCAGCTAACAATAGGAACTACAGTCAAAATCCCCAGAACTTACGTTGCATTCTGTCGACCGTACTCTGGTTTGAAGAATCCTTCCTTCTCCCACCAAGCGTACCAGTCCGACTCAACGTAGCCAGGGTCATATACGTTCAGCAGTCCTGCGCTTACATCTATAAGAACATTTTACACTGGTACATTCCATCGTCTGGTCCAAATAGTTTTCATTATTATTTAGTATTGAGTTGAGCAGTAAATTTTCGCTGTTTTTTAAGCAATTTTTTTTGAATTTCTGCGGATAACTTTTGCCGTTTATGTTGTCTTTTCCAAAGCTAGCATTTCCTCACACCCAGATGTGTGATGTCGTATATGTTGTATCCTAACAGGCAGCCAATCCAGTCGTTTATTGAACCACAGACGAATAATTGAACCATACTCAGATAGTATCCCTTTTATACACAATGATAAACATATTATTGTATAGACTACTATCATTCCCCAACACCTCCCCCCTATGTTTTGCATATCACATGTCTTCATTTTTGGATTCACTTGAAGACGGTTGTGCGGCGGTCTCGATTCCATCTATCCGTTGTCTGAGGTGAAGCCGTCGATTAAGTCCGATCCAAAGTATCGTTTCCAGAATTGACTGTAATCTCCGCTTCCCCATTATGCTGAGCTTTTTTCGATCTTTGTGATCTTCGGGTGTTCATCAAGTGTCTGCAATTCTTCATCAGTGCTACTTCCTTTTGATGTGGCTCGCATCTGATTCGCATGTCTTCTCCACAGCTGACCTTCCTTCCGTCAGAACGTCGTACAGAACTCGTCCAACAGCGACTCTTCACGTGTGCCAGGATCCATTCGCTTGTGTCCAGGACGATAGTCTCGAATCCAAACTGGTTCTCCAATCTTGTACGATCTTTCTCGTGCTCCGTGATGACGGTTGAATTGCTTTTCCATTTTTGCATTTCTTGGTCCTTTTCCACCTTCGGTTGTTTCCTCCAGTAACGTCAGCGTAGTTCCTTATTTGACGTCCGAGAAACAATTCTGCTGGTGAAAGCTGTCCAGGAGTTGACGTGCACGGCGTTCTTCGATAACACTTCAGAAATTCTGAAAGGGGTTCCGATCTCTCTCCCTCCCTCAGTTTCAGCAGGGATCTCTTGAGAGTATCGACGAAACGCTCCGCTTGTCCATTTGACTGTGGATGAAAGGGCGGTGAACGGATGTGTTCTATGCCTTCCTCGTCGCAAAATTCTTTGAACTCTCTTGATGTGAATTGTGTTCCATTGTCTGACACGATAACTCTTGGATTTCCCAATCGTGCGAAAAAACATTTTGAGCTCTACTTCAAAGTTCCTTTATAGTGGACGATGACATATCGGAAACTTCAGGCCACTTTGAGTACGAATCGACAACCACAAGATACATCTTTCCGTTGATGGGTCCGGCATAGTCGATGTGAACTCTATTCCAAGGTTTCTTCTCGTCAGGCCACGAGTTGAGAACTGTTTTCCTTGGCATTTCTGCTGTTTCTTGACAGTGGCAGCAGTGGCGCACGTTTTCTTCGATGTCTCGATTGATGTTCATCCAATAGACATATCCTCTGGCGAGCATTTTCATTCGTGTCATTCCCGGATGTCCTTTGTGTAGTAGCTTTAGCACCGTTCCACGTAGAGACTTTGGAATGACAATTGCGTAGACAGTGCATGTCGTAGAGCTTTCCAATCAGGCAATTTTCTCTTCAGGCTTGGCTGTCCATGATCCTAGTCTGAGCATTTTGGTGACTAGATACTCTAATCCTTCCTAGACTTCTTGCTGGATCGAAATTCTTGTCACCGGTAGCGCTTTAATGGAAGCTTCGTAGACGGCGAGGATATCTTGCTCTATTTTGGCTATGACAATATCTTCTGTTTGGTTTGGACGTGAGGGAATGAGTCTTGATAGTGCATCTGCTTGTCCAAATTCAGTCGTGCTTCGATACTCAAGATTGAAGTCGTATCCCATAAGTATAAGTTTCCATCGTTGGAGTCGAT